TCATCCCAAGCACCCCAGAACACCCTGGGTCACCCCTGTTCATCCCGGTACACCCCAGGTCATCCCAGTACACCCCGGTGCACCACAAGACCCCCAGTACACCCCAAGTACCCCAGTGCATCCCAGGGCACCCCGAGCACCCCAATACACCCCAAGTACCCCGGTACATCCCAGGTCACCCCGAGCACCCCAGTATACCTCGGGTCATCCTGGTACATCTCAGTATACCCCGGCTCACTCTGGCACATCCTAGGGCACCCCGGCTGACGCCCGTCCCCCCGCAGCGACACGGCCGTACCTTGTCGAGGACGCTGTCCCCCTCCAGCTGCCCCGCCTCGTTGATGTTGCCGAAGAGGAACCCGGCCAGGGAGAAGGGCTCGGCGCGGCCGCCGTCCGCATCTTCCTCACTCTCCGAGTCCGACATCGCGGCGCCGACCCGGACACGGAAGCGGGGCCGGGATGGGCTCGGGGCCGGCCCCGCCCTGGGAACAGAACGGCCCCGGAGCGGCCCCGCCCCGCCCGCAGCGCCCCCGCGCGGCCCCGCCCGCACCGCGCAGGGAACCGCGGGCGCTCCGCCCTTCCCAAAAATTCCTTCGTTTATCGCCTTTTGGGAACCTCTCAGGAAAGAGCACCTTTTAGCACAGGTGCGGTACGGAACAGCAGGGCGAGTTAATGCAACAAGCCACGGAGGTGGGGGGAAAAGGTTTATTGCAATGCATAATTTAAAAGTGAAGAGGGGGAAAAAAAATAATCCTTTAAAACTGTTAGATGCGATACAAGTTGTTTTATCGTATAAAATCAAGTCGCCAGTGTACGTATCAGTGCCGCACTTCAGAGTCTTGGGCTCCCGCTGGTGGTGGGTGGTCCTTGCTGCCCACCCAGGGGGTCGGGACCCCGGTGAGATCCATCCCCTTCTCCGGGTCAGCCCAAGCAGCACCGAGGTTTCTACAGAGTGAGGTTTAGCACTTGAGAACAAAGCATGGTGAGGCTCTTTGACTTTAAATTTCATAGAAATAGCTACAGCTGTAAACTGAAGAAAGCACTTCCACATCTAAGCACACCTCGTAACATCCTTTGGACACAGAATTCCTGAACTGCTCAGCTTCAGCTATATTTAAAAGAAAAAACAAATACTTCAGAAATCATCCACAAACTGAAAGATTAAAATCTGTCTCTTCACAATGAGTATCTTCTGTGAATTAAAGACATACACATTGCATCTCTACTCACTAACAAACTGAAGGATCTTGAACAGTTTGGGAAACCCACACAGCTTAACCGGATTTTCTGATCTCCCAAAACAAGACAAAATCCAGCCATGGGATGATGTGAAGTCTGTATTTGTCAACTGCCCACGGAAGAAAAATAAAACATGGGAGAAACAGAACTGATTGTAGACTGAAGCACTGGACTACTCACAATAAAATACACCAAAAATTGTCGGGGGGGGGAAAAAAAAGGCAGGAAGATCAGAAATGGAGAATGCCCACTGAATGGAGAAGCTCACTGGATTCCTGAGCTCCTGAAGCTCATCCTCAGGAAAAGCAGAGGCTGGAAGAAACCAGCTGTCAGCCAGGACTCTTATTCCTGGCAGGAAGTGACAGAAATACAAAGCATCTAAATAAGCAGGTACTCCAAAGCCAGTAAAAACCTTTTGATGGTGTTCAAAGTTCACTCTCTGCTCATTTTCATGACTACTGTGTTATTCTCCTCAGTACTGTTGTGCAATCCATTTACTAAGTAATCTAAATGGGCATAAAGTGTTCTGGCATAATGCAATCAATAATGCAACCGATTCAAATAAATTGATTAAGCAGTTGAATTTTATCTTGCCATACTCTTTTCCAGTTCACACCAGGATGGCTGTTTGTGAGCCTACAGAAACAGGGGGGCAAGGGTTGTGCAATAATACTTTCTCACAAGATTTCTTCTCCACAAAATTCTTGTAATCCAGTTAGGAATAACCACAAAAGACACAAAACTAAAAGATTTCAGTATGTAAAAAAAGTAAAAACTTTTTAAAACAGTAGTAGCCTCAGTACAAAACTGCAAATATATGTAGCAAAAAAAAAAAAGTAGACTTTTAATTTCAATAACAGGCACCTCTTAAGACTAGTTCAAACATGTCACAGACTTTTTAAAGTACATCTCTGAATAAAGCAAAGGTTAAGGGCTTGCACCAGGGTAACTAGACAGTTGATTTAGGTCTGACCAGCATTAAAACAAACCATGTGCACTGGCTTAAATAAATACATTTTAAACATGGTAAAGTCTATTTACTCAGTTACTGAAATTTACCTACAGAAAATAATCTTGAATTACAAGGCACAGAGTTAATTGCTGCCTGCAAGCCCAGCCCACACTAAAGGCCTACAGCTAAAGCAAAGGCAGAACGTGGTAAGTAGAGGTTATCTCACAGAATACTCTATACCCTCACAGCCTTCAGGGCACTGTGGCAGGAACCACATCTGGAACAGCACTTTCTCTACAAGTGCAAAAGACGCAAAGACACTCCAGGCAATGGCACTTGGTGAAGGAAAATATGCAGAGTCTGCAGGGCTTCTGCAAACATCCCACAGAATGGGGGTTTTGGTACTGCCTGCGCTCAGGCAACGTTTGGAACTCGGTGTTGGTTCACTAACCACAGGTACCAGTATTTGGATTAACTGCAATTTATAATCAATGGCTAAAGCAGTACCAGAGTGAGCATATGTCAGATAAACAGGAACTGCAGTTAGCGTCAGCATCAGCTACATCAGCTGAAGAAAGGCACATCCTCTTCAAGGAGTGGAATTAGGGCGCAAATAAAAACATTTCTATCCACCTGGTATTTTTGGCAGCATCGGATAAAGCAAGCTCAAATTAAGACAAGATCCCTAACAACCTTGTTGATGTATTTTCTGTTATCTTGCTAAAAACGAGGCACTTTTTTTCCGATCAGAGTATACACCAGTGCAGTTTTGCATGTGTGGGAATCACAAGAAAGCAAGTTCTGAATGACCAATTGAGGCTGCAGCCAGACAAAGACAGCACTGTCAACTTCAGACAACAAAGCCCAGTCCAGCACCACTGGTTTCACACAAAGTATCTTTGAAGCATGCTGCTTTCATACCATCGAGCTGGAAGGTTAAGTCTAAGGAAGGTTTCATGCGCTCACTCCTCAGCTGGTCCCGGAACCACACATAAAGAACAGTGCACATCCTGAAAATAAAAGCCAGCTGCCACTTACTAGAGCTGCTGAAGAAAGTTAAAAAGTATGTAAATAGAACTTCAGTTAAAAGAGTTCATAATAACTGAGCATCCAGTAGAGAGGAAAAAAAAAACTTGCCCAGGTAATCCTATCCAGTGACTGGCTAACCATTACAGACTGAACTGAAAACAGGAAGAAACGCGGGCTCCTGTAATCAGAACCTCCAAAATTTCTGTCAGTGTTCTCACAGAAAAAAACAACACAGGAATTTGCCATAAAAATCTCAGGTGGTGGCCCCAAGAACGTTAAGAAGTGAAGCAATTAATTCCTCAAGAGCTGCTATCAAGTCTCTGGGATTCATCAGAGAGATTACATTGAAAATCTCATTTTGAGAAGTGTCATCCCAAATATCTCAGTCATCCTGGGAAGGTTAACTGTTAAAAATTTATTCTCAGGGTGTCTCTTTGGACAGTGAAATAAAATCTCAGTTTAGAAGCTTATGGAAGACTTGCATCTAAACTACTCTACCACTTCTCCAACTCAAAACTATGAAAATCACTCGTTTGAGTGATTTTGATCATTTTTCTAATTTCCTTACATTAGGAAAAATCAGCTCCTGCTTCTGTTAATAATATCATTGCAGGTATTCCCTGGGTCTTGCTCATTGCATTAATCGTGCCTTACGCTAACTCTTCATATAAATGATCACAGTTCACTATAAGGTGAATCTCAGTAATATTTCAGGCATTTTTGCAAGTAAACAAATCGTTTTCAAGCTTTAAATTGATAAAACAACCGGCCTTCTGTTTGTAAAACAAATTCAATCAGTAAATAAAGGATGGGAAAAGCAGCAGCTAGACTTAGAGCAGGGTTATCAGAATTGGTGCTTTTCAGCAAACCTAGTAACTGATGGCTATCTAGTAAAGAAGTGGCTTCAAAGGAGTCTCCTCTTTTATTTTCCTCCACTAAAATAAGGACAGAACCCAGGTGATCCCTGGAGAAGCTGGAGACTGGAACTTCAGAAATAAAGTAGATATTTGACCTCTCAGTTGGAAAAAAAGACTGTTCTGTTTCAGTTTCCCTGAAGCAGTAAGACTGCAAGAATATTCATTGTATAACTGATTTCTGCTTAGAGCTGTTAGTGCAAGATGCAAATCTTCAATTTAAACTCATTAAAAAGCCCTCCAAGATTCTAGTCAACAGCAACATCCATCACCCAAGGTGACTACAATAAGACACATTTTCTTGTGTTCTTCTTCGTCACAGGATACAGAACTGCACGGACAGCTTCAGCAAACACCTCCCGAACACCCTCCTGATTCAATGCTGAGCACTCCAAATATTTGACTGCTCCAATTTGTTTAGCCAGTGAAGTCCCCTGCTGCGGGGTGGTGGGAGCCAAGCTCTGCTCTTTCAACTTTTTAACTGTTTCCAGGTCACTTCTCAAGTCTCTCTTCGTGCCCACTAGAAGAATGGGGACATTTGGACAGTGGTGAGAAACTTCAGGATGCCATTTGTGCCTCACGTTCGCGTAGGAAGAGGGGCTGCCAATGGAGAAGCAGATGATGAAGACGTTGGTTTGAGGGTAGGAGAGCGTGCGCAGGCGGTCGTATTCCTCCTGGCCTGCAGTGTCCCAGAGATTCAGGCTGACTGTCCGGCCATCCACAGTCATCTGGGCACTGTAGTTGTCAAACACAGTCGGGATGTACTCCTCTGGGAAGGCATTGGTGGTGTAGCTGATGAGGAGACAGGTTTTTCCCACAGCGCCGTCTCCGACGACCACGCACTTTATAGTCTGCATTCTTCACCCAGAAGCAAAGTCCTGCACAAAGCAAGAAAAGGAGTTAGGAAAAGCACACTCCCGCCATGGCCATTTTAAAGATAAGCTTTAGCAAGTGTTTTTAATATAGCTAACAATTTCTTATCACAGCTTGACACACATTCAGCGTCTCAAGCCATTCTAAAGAGCTCCCGGGGCTAGGAAGACAATAGTGAAATGGAGATGCAAAGAGTTGAGAGCTAAGTGACAACTGGCTGCATTCCAACCATGTAAGTACAAATTAGCCAAATTCCCACAGTCTTGCCTTACTGCCAGACTGTTTCCCACAGGCAAAAGGACAAGCCCTTAGAGGCACCTGCAAGTGGAAAGGGATCGTGACCTCAGACCCAGTAACAAGATACTCTGTCCTTTGTAGGTTCACACGAACACCTCTGTACACACACCCTCTCCAAGATTCACACTTCTTGCCTACATAGTCCGTTGCCTAAACAGTTCACCACAAAGAAAGGTCCAGAAGTTATATACTAAACCAAGATATTCATTGCTGGGCTGCACTGCAACTGTTTACTATAATAATTCACTATACTCAGATCAATCAGACCTCAAGGAACTGCATTGCTTAGAGGACACCAGATAAAAGTTCAGAAAGTAGCACATTCAAGAAAAGCTGTTCTTTGAAATATAACTAGCCATAGTACCCAGATTAGACTACATAAAGAATTTTTCTAAAGAAGCCAAGAACAGATTACTCTCACTAATCAGTGACAGAACAAGCAGAACTTAATAGGCTTGAGTTACTTGGTGTCCTCTAAATAATGACCACGAGAAAAGTATATGCTGTAAAAAATAGCCTTCCTAGGCAAACTGGGGAATTGTTACACAGGAGATACCTGACACTTTAAGGTTTCCCTTATCCCTTTCCTGATATATGAAGATTAGGTTTGATAATCTAACTGATATAGTCTAAAACACAATTAATTTTAAACTATATTTGAAAATAGCATGGAACTGCAAGCAGTCATTTGTTGTACGTTGGAGCTTCCACAGTCGGTCTGAACAAGAAGGAACTTGCCTCTGCCTTCTCACCCAAATGCCTTTGAGGGACTATCAGAATCCTCAACTTGCAACCAGCAGCAAATACACTGTTTCAAACAGAAGAAAACAGTGGGAAGAACTTTTTAGCAGGGCCTGTTACAGTAGGACAAGGGGCAATGATTTTAAACTAAGAAAAGGTTGATTTAGATTAGATATAAGGTAGAAGTTATTCACAATGAGGGTGGTAAAACACTGGCACAGGTTGCCCAGAGAAGCTATGGATGCCCCATCCCTGGAAACCTTCAAGGCCAGGCTGGATGGGGCTCTGAGCAACCTGATGTAGTTGAAGATGTCCCTGCTCATTGCAGGGAGTTGGACTAGATGGCCTATAAAGGTTCCTCCCAAACTCAACTATTCTGATCGCATATTCCAGAAGGATCTCAGCTCCAACACCATCAAAGAATAAAAGGGAACATAGGAAAATCAGCAAGTGAAGTAAGTCACAACAGTCATGAAACCCCCTCCCTCCAACTTCCTCTTAAGACCATCCAAACAAATCAACAACTCATTATCATTCAAGTCTCAGCTTTGTCCTTTCAGACAAAGTCTTTATCTGTCTCCATATACTGCCGTGTTCCCACTGGGAGCACACAGGATTCTGCTGGACTGAGTGAAAATGGGACTACCTGAAGCTTTGGCACAGTAGTAGTGACAACCACTGTGGTCACTACAACACACAGTGCTTAGGGAAGGATCAGTGTATGTGCACAGGCACTGCTGAAAACCAACCAGTGGTGGGAAGCAGTGCAGAAACCCAGCAGGGCATTGGAGGGGAAAAATTTGGAGGGAAACAAAAATGCAGAGGCAGACTATCCCTTTTGAAAATGGCAGGAACTAGATTTCTAAACCAGCATGAATCACCTGAAATGAAATCTGGCAAGTGCTTCTGAGCTTTGGCAGAAAAGCACACATATGAGTTTCTTCGTAGATCAAAAAAATCAGTCATCCCATTTCAGGGCTCCAGTCAAATGTAAAGAGAGATATGTATGGAACTGCATAAAGGTAATCAGTAATAGGAAGAACAGCACTGAGCAGCAAAAGCTGAGGGAAGGACTGAATATATTATTCCAGAACAGTTGCACCAAGAATGTAATTTAAAGGAACTGGAGGGAAAAAAAAGAAGAAAAAAAACAAAGAGGGGGGGAAATACAAAAAACCCCCCCCCACCAAACAAGGAAGTTGTGCCAAATTAAAACTTGCATTTTGCAAACGCCAAGGTTGAAGCCCATTTTAATATTAAATTACTTAAAACATTACAAAGTAAACATTTTTTACATTATATTATTGATTGAGATTGAACATTATTAATGGCAGCACATAACACACTATTTCTGAACACAAAGGGTCTGAGTGCTACAAGCAAAAAGTGACAGAAGAGCAGAAGTACTTTAACACTGTAACACTGTTCTACCTGATGATGCAACAGCGACTCCGTTCAGGGCAGATCACAGATCACAGTCTGCCTGGAGACACTGCCACACTCCATCCATCTGCCTCCGGGAGTTTCCAAACCCTCTTTCCCCTTCCCACCCCGGTAGCACAGCACCTCCTCAGCTGTGATCACACACTGAAGAAGGCTGAGGAGCTGAACTACTTATTAAACTGGATGAAACCACAATCAACTGTGAAGGTACAACCAAGCCAGTGGCAGCAGATGGTGGGAATGAATCACCATATGCTGCTGCTGCTGCCCAAGTCCCTGGACTGCAGCACACAGAGCAGGTTTTAAAGCTTACTCCTGCACTGACATCAAACCACTGAAGTACGAGAACATGCTCTGCCAGAAGCCTTAGTGGTGACCAACACCACTGCTCCCAGAGCAAAGGGTTTTTGCCCAAATGAATTATCTGTGCAACAGACGACTCATTTTGATCAGTCTGTAACAAGTGACATCACAGGGATGGCAGGACTAAGTCAGCTGGACACATGCAACAAAAAATTCAACTCTAGCAACAAGAGTCTCATGAAGAACAAAAAAACACAAAGCCTTTAATACGCCCAACTCCTAGTTTCTAAAGTAAACAAGTTGCAAAGACTTGTAAACAGATCTCTCTTTAGAACACAAACTAAAAGCTCCCCCAAGTGCTCGCACCTCTTACATCTCTAAGCACTTCTGTCCAGAGCTTTCCACACAATGACAGGGTATCCCCAAACTGCATCCAGACTGAACACAACAGGCACTGTCAGACAGCACAGGCATTTTATGAACTGATAAACTACAAAGCTACAAGTACCCCAGACCACCAGCAGTTAACACAACCTGATTTAAAATGTCTCGTGAAAGTGTGTTACCCAAAGATTATTTTGTTGGGGCTTTATTTAAGAGGTTATTAGAGATTTCAATTTGGAAATTGGTAATAATGTAACAAAAAGGCCTGGAACATAAATGCTCTTTCACAGAACTAATACCTGGAATTACCCCACTAAGGCTGGGATTTTAGAAGAGCAGCATTTGCAGTAGGAAATAACTCCATGCAAACACGCCAAAGCATCAGGCAAAGTATTAACTACACAAACACAACTAAAGAGCTTGTAGGCTTTTAAGTGTATTTCTCTGAAAGGCTCCTTTAGAGTAGGTTGCTTTAGCTGAAAGGAATCACGTGTGGCATATGCAATACAGAAAAACAAACACACACCAGAACACACATTATTTGTACTGAAACACAAAACTTAGATAAATCAATCAAAAAATAACGAGTAGAAAGAAGATACTACACTCCAGAAACCTGTATGTTGTGAACAGGTGTAGTTTGGTAAAAGATTTACACATGGAAGACAGGGATCTTTTTAATATAAGTCACAACCAAGAAAACTAATATTACCTCCATCAGGCCTTTTCTATTAAATCCAGGTACTGCTTTCTTCAAAATATATGAAGTCTCAATTTAGTTTCTCTTGTACACAATTTGTCTAGCAAGAAAATTCTCCTAAGACCGTAAAAAGCTGGGGTTCAAATTTGCATGTCACTGCATGCTATCTAAATGTAAATATATACTAAAAAAAACCCATCATCCAAAACCAAAACTACCAACAAACATTACCAAGAACGGGAAAAATTGGTTTAGGGTTTGTTTGGGGTTCTTTTGGTGACCTTCTAATGAATTTTTTGGGGGGAAATTTTAGAAAGAAAAACTCCACATACAATAAGTAACAAGAACTGAAAAAGAGCAAAATACAGATTAACACGTCAACACATCAAAAAAAAAAATACTTAAGAATTTAGAAACAGAAAGCTGGGCACAAGCTTCAAAGCCAAGTTTAAAGGTTATGCAACAAGAGAAGCAAGTGAATGGAAAATCCAAAGTAGTGAGAGGTAATCCAGGTTCTTAGTCCTGCCAGAGAAAATACTTTTATTACAGTTAAGGTTCTAGCAGCTACAGCAGAATGGGAATAATTTTCAAATTAAATAATAATTAATTAAAAAAAAAAAAAACAAATGAAAAAAACACCAAATCATCCCACACAGAAGTGTTGTGCAAAAATATGCAGATGAGAGTTATTTCTATCTTGTCCATCAGTGCCTTTGAATTAGAAAACTGGCATTCCCTGTTTGGGTTAGTTTCCTTCTCAGAAGATGCTGCAAAGTCTGACTTCACTCCCTGCACACCTGGCACTTCCTCTGGAATGTGCAAGATTTCAACTGGCGTGTCAAGACATCATCTGGAGAGCTGCTCCTGTTCTGACCTAATTAAGTCTCTTCTGGTATCATTAATGTGGACAGCTTGCTCTCCTAACACCCAGGTGAATATTTGTTGGGGAAATTCACGATTTGGATCCCACTCCCCCTCCCCACAAAGCCATCACAAGTGAAACCACAGAAAAACTTCACGTTGCATCACAATGTTTTTGTGGGAGAGAAAAAACTTCTCTGTCTTCCCCTCAGCACTTCTGAAGGAAAGTTCCCTGCCTGCTCAGAGAAGGGGGAATACAGTGACAGAAAACAGAGAGGAAACAGTAACCCAAGTTCTTCTGTAGCTTTCTAGATTTATGTTTTTTATACTTCCTGCACTTCTAAAAACTCTTGGCAGAGAAACTACTTCTTAGCAGGATTTGTCTCTGCCCTTGCTATGCTAACACCAAATGCCTCTTTGTTAGGTGGATTTTAGCTTTGATACTGCTCTTTGATAAACTCACTTTCACTGAGTTTGTCAGGTCTTCCCTATCTCTCTCTACAGTCTGGATATGGCCCCGTTTTGGCCGAAAACACCCCTGGAGCCAAAAATGCCCCTGGAGCCAAAAACGCACAGGAGCTCAGCTGAAATCAGCTGTACTGATCTGTGTCACTCTGCTCAGCCACCACATTTGACCAAGCCCTCACCTGGATCAGACATTTGCTCCTGCCTTACCAGGGGCATGCGGAAGCTAGGAAAAATAAACGACTTAATTGCTTATCTTTCAGTAACAAAAACTAGATCAGAGACGATTCACTGTCCACCTGAAACATGAAGTCAGGCAGAAACTTCCAACAAAGAATTGGGTGGATAAGGCAGCTCCAAGTGTATCACACCACCCTCACCCACGCAAAGGAGTTAATTCACATGTGCAGCTTACCCACCAAGACTAAAAGGGAAGAAAAAGGGGCTCTCAGCAATTTAATCAAGACTCTGTTACTATTCCACAACAGCTCAGCTTACTCGCCATTGTTTTAGGCAAGTGCCAAAGGAATGGACAAGTGCCAGACTTTTAGAATGCATGCCAAGAAGGAGTAAAAAAAGTTAAATAGGAGACCTCATCCCTAATATCCTTCAGCAATGAATGACCTACTTGGACTCCTCGGAGCCTCTCAAAGTTTTCACACCGCTCTCTGTCCTGCCATTTACCTGCAAGAGAAACAAAACACTCAGCAACACCCTGAGCGGCAGCAGAGGGGGGAAAAAATCAACAAGCCAAGGCAGATTTCAGCAGCACAGCGGGAACTGGGCACTCCACCACCCAAGCTCCACATGAACAACAGAATGGAGGAGGCTCATTTTCTGCAAAGCTCTCTGCCTGGAAATTCAGCTTCCAGGCACATATCACTGATGCCTTACAGGAGTGCAGTTTTCACTGGTTGTTCCTTCAGTGCCAATGCTACAAAGCCCTTACACCTCCTGCCACAAGAAGTTGTTTCAAAGAAATAAAAGAAACCACTCAAAACCTTTCAAATAATATTTTTAAAACCTCTACCCCTGTCAAATTGGGTTGAAATTGGTTTATTGATTTAAAGATTTTTTTTTTTCAGGGATGAAACACAGACAAGCTTTACCATGTAAGCCATGTTTCTTAAGGAACTACAGTGAAAACAAAGTGGTCTGCACGAGGTATTTGGGCACCTCAACAACACAAACCTCAGTGCAACAACACTTACTACAGGCACTCATACTCCAAATTTTATAGGAGAGCAATAATATTAGTGACTAAATATCAAAGACCTTAAATTCTATGAATCCAAGATTATGTTTAGTGGATAATTAATATTTAAAAAGGGTGTTAGCTCATGAAACAGCTGCACAGTTGATGAAACAACACTGCAACAAGGTCCAGCTGCACAGTCACAGGAGCTAAAAACCAAGACTTCAGCAGGTATCTGAAACCTCCAGTGTAGGAATGTGACATGTATCCTGCCATAATCAAAAGCTGCTGAGTATTAAACTTGATTTTCCTCCTGCCACCCACAGAATCATGGATTCATCCAGGCAGGGACCCTTCACAGTTTATCTGAGCACAAGTGACCCTGATGAGCTCCAGTGGCAAGAACAGCAAAGGTGTCAGAACAGGAGCCAGGACTGCAGGGTTCTCTGCCCACATCCACTGCTTGTCTGCTGGGTGACATAAGTAACTTGCACAGGTCCTGGGGATCACAGTCAGTTCATCAAAAGTGAGTGACACAATGTCCTTTCTACTTTCTACAGATTCTGACACAGCCTTACTGTGGGCTAAAACAAACAGACAGTACCTCAGGCATAAGGCTTTGTGAAGAGGCGTATTAAGCTCGTTGCAGGATGAATGATAAATCCAGTTTAAGCATCCTCGATTCCTATTTGAGGTGGAAAGAAAGAAAACTTGTTAGTCTGTCTCCCTATCATGTTTTGTCACCTGGCATTTGCTGGCACTCTGGGTTGTAACAAAGCCACTGTTGTATCCAAAGGGCAATGTTACACCAGGAAAATCTAAGCTTCTTTCCTTGAGAAAAAAAAGCCCCAACACACTTTTCATCGGGTTGCATTTCTTTGATTTCTCCTCCTCCACCCGAAACCTTCACTGGGGGGAGGGGTGTGTTAAAAAAGACACAAACAAAAAAATAAACAAATAAAACAAACAAAACCCACAAAAAACCAAACAAAACCCCAAACAAAAACAAAATACAAAACACACAAAACAAAACGGGGAAAAACAAACAAAATCAACCCAAAGCAAACAAAAACGCACTTGCTTAATCAATAACAGTTTTCAAAAGTGTCTTTAAAGAGTTTTGGTGTGATTAAGATCAGAGTTAACACATGCACTCATTGTGGTTATCATCATGGCTTGTGCACTACAATACTGCAATTTTTGCCAAGTCTCATTTGCATCATGTATTGCAATTCTAAAATGTGAGAAAAAGTTACGGAGTTTCTCAGCAGTATGACAGATTTACACATTACAGACACGTACAGCAAAGTAAAAAAATATTCCCTATAAAGGCATGACACCAAATTGAGTGAAAACACTTTGGACTGCAAAAGAATCACAGCCTCACCACGTAAGCAAATCAAACTGCACATTTAATTTCCTCCTACTAATTGCAAACTGCATATTTATTATTTTTCCAAGATCTCTGTAAAATTCCTCCACAGAAGAACATTCAAAAGCAGGGGTTTTTTTAATGGAAATAGCAAGCTAAAATGCCAAATATGTCTCATAATCTTAAATTCCCTATAGGAAAATTGTTGTGCAGCTGAACAGCGGCAAACTGGCCCCAAACCGTGCCTTTGAGCGATGTACTTTACATCTCACACGGAAGAGAACGTGAGCTTTTGAAAATCAAAAAATAAGCTTGGGGCAAAGAGCTTAATGATGCTGCACAAGGAGTACTGCACTCCAGCACAGGACACATGTTGCGAGTATGGGGTACACATAAAGAACTCTTAAATTAAAGTACCTAAAGCTTTTTCCATAACTCAGATTATGATGGGAATCACAAGTGTTTATAAAGAGTAAACAGATACTGATTACTCACTGGTTCTTAAAAAAAAAAAAGACCAAAAGGGACCAAAAGAAAAAAAAAAGAAAGAGAGAAGTTCAGAATAAATAAAAAGCAGCATTGCTTCTTGGGGTTTGAGGTTAAGCAGGAATTCCTCGGTGCAGGTTGTTATAAAAACTGAAAGTTCACAGGACTTCAGAGGAGAACCATTAAGCTGATTAAGGCTGCTAAATGAGACAATACCTGTGACTCCTGACATCCTCCAAAATATTTCAGGTGGCTACTTTGCCCTGCTCTTCCCGAGACAGCAATTTGTTTTTAGAAGGTAGATCAAATACGACTCTTCTTATATCTCTCCCAGAAAAATCCACTCTCAGCAGTGAAAGCAGAGACCTTTCCGAAGGCAAACTCATCCCGTGCCAACTTTTTATGACACTCGCCGGGAACAGAGGTCGCCTTAAGCCTGCGGCGGTGCTCCCGATAGGGATGAGCATCAGCCCGGCGTTGGAGCAGCGCGGCCCAACCTCCGCTCCCCGCGGAACGGGCAAAACCACGACCCGCCACGGGGCCGCTCCCCGAGAAACGGCACCGAAGGAGGGCTGGCTCAAAAACTCTTCCCCGGCTTCTCCGGGCCCCCCGACGAGCACACTCAGCGCCCGGCGTGCGGACGCGCATCTCACCTCCCAACGCCCCCGGGCACCACCAGGCCACGCGGCCGGGGCGCGATGCCCCCGGTGCTCCCGAGCTCGCCCTTCCCGGCGGGGCAGGTGCCGCAATCCGCCTCCTCCCCCGGCGAAGGGACCCGCGGTGGCCCCGGGGCCGCCGCCCCGCGCTGACAGCGGGGCCGGACGCGGAGGATGTTCCGGCACCGCCGGGCGGGAACACGCGCGCGGGGCCCGCCGGGGCCGCTCCCCTGCCGCGCCCTCCGCTCCCCCCGGCGGCTCTCCGGGCCCCCCTCGTCCCCGCCGCCCGCTCGCCCCGCTCCTCGGCCCGCTCTCACCTCCGGGCGGTGCCGGCGGCCGCCGCCGCTGCCCCGGCTGCCCGCGGACCCTCGACC